AAGTGAATAACTTCATTAATACGTAGATGCTAAGGCCGACAAGGTCTAGAACGACTATATGCATTTGAAAACAATGAACACGTACTCTGTTGACCAAGTTGATCGTGTCATATAATTGAAGACCACTGAACTCCAAATAATGGCAAAACTGAATGACAAAATGGACAGTGAATTTTTAAAAATTATTTCCGGTGATTTTCGTAGTTCGTGGTTGTTGTTGACCTGATTACAGACCCGGATAAGAGTGGTAAAGGTTTTGATTTATTTATACGATGAGTTCGTTGTGTAAATGAGGTGTGAACTGAAAAACTAGTAAGCATTGGACAGCTGTTTCGATCAGGTTGGGTCTCATCAGCAGTAACAACCCATCGATCCAACTGGGGATTGAACCCGGGACCTCACAGATAGAACGCAAACATGCTACCCACTCGGCCATCAGACAGCCGATCAAACCGTGTCTCATTTTGAACATAAACAATATAGCACAACCAATCTATGCGAGCTCGTTGGGAGTATCGATCCTCGCTTCCAGTGCCTCCCAGCTTTTCAGCTCCCATCGCATTTACACGACGAATTCATCATATAAATTTGTGATAAGGCTTTCACTTTTCACAGAGACTGACCGCCAATCTAATGAAGGTTGATATGCTTGTTATTAGGCAGTTCGACCTGACAATGGAAGTAATCTATCTATCTACCTTTTGCCATTCAAGTTGTCCCAATGTCATTTGAAAATGTCCGGCTATCATTTCAAGATGTCTCATTGGTCTTATCGGCGTAGACAAGCCTCCCAGCGATGTCTAAATGACTACCACGTGGTACATACAGATCTGTCTACCTCCCGCTGAAGCGCGGGGGGGGGGGACGATTGTGAGACATGGCTTGGTCATACACGCCTCAATTCCCATAATATACATATTGGTTATTTATCTTGCAAGTACGCGTCAGCGTCTGTGTGTTTGTCCCCCTCCGCTAAGGTCAGTGAATCATGCGCGATCAACGCCTGAACTACTGCTTACCTCCATCGCATGATGCTGCAATGGAATTCATGAGCTACGCCACAAGCGGTCGCACCTGGGACAACAATCGATCATGCTCGATCGATATGCGCATCAGTGTTGACCAGGTTCACATCCAGTTTGTTCCAGACTTCCAGGTTATATTCCATCTCTGCGACACTACCACAGAACAAGCACATTTAAGTACTGAACAATCCAAATTATCATTTTAACCATATACACATATGTATATGTATATTGCGAAAAAATTGCATGTGCACCTGAAACGTGATGCGTTCGTGAGTTACAACCTATTAGACGTTATCTGTCACAACTCAACCGGTAATTTACTGGCGTAAGTCTTAAACGACCGCGACGGAGAATGCCAGAAAAAACCATTTGATTTTTTCTCGATAAGTTAAAGGTATTTGATCAGGCATTGCACTGAGGTCACGGCGATGATATTACCTGAGTTCCGCAAAATAATATATCGAGGGTCACTGGCTTCCTCAAAAATTGTTCCATTGCAAACGAGATTGATACCGGCTTCAACATTTTTCTAGTGTTTCCAGAGGTCTCGTGTTCTTTTACACATTAATATTATCGACCCCATATTTATTAACTTGTATTTGTAATAAAGAACACAACAGAACAGTGTTGCACAATTTATTTCCGGAAACGTTTCGCTGTATCTCCTCAAGTAAATAAGAAAGTAAAAATCTAAAAAACTAGCAAGGAATAATTACTATGGATGAGCTGTTGGTGTTAACTTCGTCCATCTTTCCACTAATACAGGGCTAGAGTTACGAATAATTGAATAACACTCTCTAGGACAATGATTACCCGAGCTCGTTGATGAAAAGGTATACCATTGCATGTCCGAAGGCAGGACGACCGATATCCGTACCTTAGAATAAGATTATCCTACAAATACCGTTCACGGGTGATGACGTGAGTAATCTGTTAAAGCAACGCGTAAACTCGTCCATCAGACGAACATTCAACACAGCTGAACCAGTTTTCGTCTACCTATTCGACAGAATACCGGATTCTTCAGTCAAGCAACCGCTTTTGCAGTATGCCGAATCTCATCAGTTGTACCAATTCGTCAGTGGGTGCTTGGCCACCTACCTAGGAAGAACCGAGCGGCAGCTTAGACAAGAAGTAACCGAACACAGCCCTGTGTGTGTTAGTAAACTAGTAAATGGATCACACCCGAATCACCAAGAGCAAAGATCAACCCAACGCTACACACCAGCATCATCGTTCGCTCGTCACATGTTAGAGGCTGGGCATCAAGCGAACGTGACTACGGTAGTCAAAAGTGTTTCTATCATACAATACTCTCAGTCGCTCCAGTTTGAAGGGACGATTTCAATAAATGGACGGAAACGTGAACAGTGCAAGCAGAACGAGTTATTTGGTAGAAAGATGGACGAGGTTAACACTTACAGTTCATTCACAGTAACTATTACTTGTTAGTCTTCATTATATTTTGATTGCTGTAATATGTATGTAACTGTAGAGGGAAATTTTTCCAGAACTAAATCGTCCAACACGGTACTGCTGTGTTCCATATTCAAGTCATATCGGAACTGGTTGTCTCAACTATTTTTGACGAACGCTGCTGCACTCTCAATTCAATTCGTGGCTTCACGGATCATGCCACTTTTCATCAAACCTCATCTTATACATCTTGTTGCACACCACTAAACAATGTCTCCAGCGGTCGGTAAAAAATACGTCCATCAATGAACTCCGATCCTGAATGGATAAATATTTAGTTTGTCTCATTGTTTCACATTCAAAGCCTTCAAAATCGCTTTTTGAAATCTTTCTTTCAAAATAATTCTTGCTGCCCTCTATTACATTCGAAAGTTTCTCTCCCAGTTTCATACGTGTGCTTTTTTGTTGCCTTAACGTTTTATATTTTAGTTTCTTTCTCCTTCCCCGGTGCTGCAATTCCGAGACAAACCGAGTCCCATGGGTATAAAAGATTAATTTTGATATATTCTGCTTTTGTGTATCCCAGTCATACTTGGAGTGAGGTCCCGTTCGCTTTGTCGTCTCTTCATAATTGTGTTTTACGTGATACCATCCCCCGCAACCACTAGGTGAGTGTTCTGCTCCTTTTTCTATCACACCTGTAGAAACGTGTGTGTGCGGTTCTTTTTCTTCCCCCTCCACTCTTCTGTTTTTTCGTCAAATTGAGGATGCAGACAAATGGATCGCTCCTATCGGCCACCAGTCTTCTCTAGGTAATTTTTCATTCCAAAAATCGCTGGATCAAGAAATATAAGCTTCTTTCTACAGTGATCTAACAATCGAATGCATAATTAGTTACATGGTTTTGAAAGATGTGTACTCTTAACATTTCCCATCGTTTCACAGATATTTTGACTGTGAAGCTTATCCTCTCACTGTAACCCACGGTTATCATGTGACAATACACGTTAATCTTTTGGTTAAACTCTCCATCCTTGTGGAAGAGAACAATTATTACCAAGCTAAACAAATGGCAAGATTGGTAACACAGAGAGGACGATCTGGAAAATCCTAACAGAACTATTATGCTTCTTCTACACTTTGAGTATGAAATAAATCCGTTTCAATACATGCGGATTTTTTGACGTTCAATCAATGGAAGCTGATGAAAAATGTGGCCCAACCAACTTTCAACTCTAATCTGATCTACCGATTCCAATGTGGGTGCGGAGCGACCTACGTGGGTAGAACAGAGCGGCAAATACATAACCGGGTGGCTAAACATATTCCAAATTGGGTCTAAAGTCAGATGATGCAATCGGGGTCAAGTCCGCGGCATAGAAACAATGATCGAAACTACAAGACTCCGTCATCAACCATAGCTCGATATATTCTGATGACGCAACACTAGATCAACCGAAGCACGGCGCTTCGGATTATCTACAAGTCACGAATCGCAGGATTGCTAAGTTTTGCAGAAGCGATTGCTACCAGCCGATGGAAGCCCCCCTTGTGCCAACAAAAAGAACTTTATATTAGTTTGTCTTTACCCAGGTGACGCAGTCCTTTTACCCCTCTCCCTTTTATGTCTGAATGTTTCATTGTACTTTACTTTTCTTTGTTGTCATGCTAAACTCCTATAAAAATATTTTGTTCTCTGCAGTATGCACCATGTTGAGATGCAGCGCAATCGTACTGGACATAAATCGTGCAGTATTGCAATCTCGTCTTTTCTTTTGAAATAAATTATTCGTTTCTCTGGGACAGCATTGTAGAAGCTTGCGTTGACACTAAAACCTCTTGATGTTGACTATAAGACAAAGGGGGATTAAATGGAAAATGAGAAGAAAGCTTCAAGGAGAATGGTGCAACTGATAAATAATCCGAATTCGTTCGGTGATGATAAACAAGTACATTAGGTAAATATAAACGATTATCACAAAATGTGCAATAAACCGTAAATATCTCCAGTACTGCTAAACACGATCTTATTAAGAAATCATTGGGACTAAAATCAAAGCCATAACCGGTACAAAATGGGGAATTACTGATAACGTTTGAATTGAGCTAGCAGTTTGCAAACTGTTGAGGATTAAAGGCGTTGACCAAAATACCACCCAGCGCAACCAAATATGAAGTGAAGTTCATAAAATGTTTGTGTCTAGCAGCTAGGAAGAAGAGCAAACACCAGAAAATAAACTGAAAATAGTCCGTTCCAAGGGATCATTTTGGAGAGAACACAATGAAATGAGGTTTCGATGACTCGTCGCCTCTGGTTAGTGTATTACAATTCGGTAAATGTCGCGAGATGTTATCATTTTGTTTTATTTTCTCACTCACTGACGTAAAACAAACCGAATTTATTTAGTTGGCTTACCTTTTGGGAATAATCTACAACGAACGCAGTCCATCCACACTTCTCGTATCTCATGAATTATAAGCCAACAACACTCGAGCGTTTCTAGATATCAGAGTAACGAGGCGATTAAATGGGACATTCCAACATTCAGTTTACCGTAAAACGACATGGTTAGGTCAATACCTACACCATTCCAGCATTTCATCAAAAGTTTACAGACGTGGGCTTGTGAGAACCCTATTTCATCAACATCTGATTAACTACAATCCATTCGAAGTTAAGCACTTTGAAAATCTAGTTGTTCTTCTTTATTGGATTGCCACGAAAAAGGTTCCACAAAGAAATGTCCGCTATCCTAATAGGCGACTTTTGGCAACAAAAATACGCACGTGGGTTTCTGTTCACAATTTT